ATCCTTGATCTAAGGAGATACTCCTCTAGAAACCATGCACCTTGGCCCCAGAGAGACACCAAACACCATCTTCTTTATCAGTAAAGAGGATTTAGGGAAACTGATAGACATCTTGCTTTCTTGTCAAAAGAAATCTGTAAAGCTATATTTTGTACCGAGGTGGCACCCTTTGGTGCCTTGTTAATATTACTTCTCTCTTTCCTAAACAAAAGCACATCTTGTTTTTTTTTTTTTTTGAAATAAAGAAAAGCCCATCTTGTTACCTGCCAAAAACTCAAAAGAGATATCGCCTATTCAATACTATGATGGTACCTGCCAAATTGTACTCAAATAAGATACTTTTCCCATTTAAGAAGCTGAAAGTACTTCCAAGCAAGATATTCTTGGGCCCTTTAGAATGATCTCTAATCATTGTTTTTTTAAAATTCGAATGATCTCTAATCATGTTCTTCATATACTCAAGGTCCAGACATCAATCACAGATACTGTGCATGTTTTATATCTAAAGATATATGACTTCTTTTATGAAAAGGTTCTTAAGAGATTAAGTTGAGATGTTTGACCAAAAGATTGCCATCACAACGTTAGGAACTTACAGATGGTTAATGATAGAATGAATGGCATAAGCAATCCTTGATCTCTAGAACGAAGTTCGTTGCAAGAAACTGTTTTCTTAATCATGGTTTGTGAGCACCGAATGTGGTTTATCAATGGGTAATAAAGCATTTACTCTTGAGGGCAGTTACTGGCTGTATTCACCGAGCACGCCTTTACTGTCTTTAGGTTATTATGTAAAAGCATGGACATTCAAGGTCCTATGAAGTTCTGATATGCAATATAAATCTACAATAAACTCTAACAGAACTTCTGATATATAAATAACAGTTAACTAATCCAGTACCACTTCTGGCTTTCAGGTGGAGGTTGAAAGGATGAGAGGGAGGGCCCATGACAAACTTATGAACAAATTGGCAGCTGCAAGGCATAAAGCTGAAGAAAAGCGAGCAGCTGCTGAAGCCAAGAGAAACCATCAAGCTGCTAAAACTGAACAACAAGCAGAGTACATTCGCAGAACTGGCCAAATACCTTCCTCATTTTCCTGCTGGGGTTGGTGCTCTTGAAGTTCACGTTCTTCTGATTCAGGTGCCTAACTCTCTTTTCCATGCATGTTTTGTCAAGATCTTTTGGTGGTTGACAATATCTTTCTTAGCTATCATGTCTTCAATCTGTAACATCTCCTAATATACATGTGGCATGTTGATATATCTCTTGTCTTCTTCTAATAACTAAGATTATTCTGTAATAACAATTCTAGTGAAATCTTTTCCTTTGGTCTCTTGATACTTCTCATCTCTCTCGCTCTCTCTCTCAATTTTTTTTGGTTTTCTTTCGTGGACATGTTGGTAATTGCATCGACTCTCCCTCTGAATGTGAGAGAATGTTGGAATTCACTAGAAAACTAAGAAGTTGACGGCTTTTTGGCCCATTTTGAGAGAGACGGAGACATTTATTGCTGGTTGTAATTTTCTCCGACTTTGAAAAATCAACATTCATAAAATAAAATTTCCAAGTACAGAGTTGACAGATATATAAAGTCTGCTTATGCAAACATTCCCTCCACTCTCAGAAAGTCGTGTTAGCTGGAAGCGCATGGTTAAAGGATAAATCAGATGAGAAGAAATTGACTGGACGGATGTTTCAAGTACACACATAATGAATGGCGCTCTGAAATAATCTTTTTCGAGAAGACTTGGAAAATGATTTCAAGGGTATGTTTGGAATGAACAAATTATTTTATGTGAAATTTGTTGAAATTTTCAAATGTATTTTAAATTATTAAAACTAATTCGAAATAAATTTTAAATAAAATTTGAGACAATGTTTTAAATTGATAGGATTTAAAATGTATTATTTTATTTTATCTAAAGTTTATTTTTTATTCTTTTAAATGAGAGTTTTTATTTATATATTTAAAATTTATTATTTTAATTAATTTACATAAATTCTATACAAATGATTTATTTATTTTTAAAGGCACTCTTCTAAATGAGAGCTTTTATTTGCAACAAGTAATTTTTCAAAAAAAAAAAAAAAGAAAAAAAGAAATGAGAAATGTTGAACTTTAATTTGTCTAATATTGATAATTGATTTTGAATGAAAGTTATAAAATGTGAAATTCACAAAATTTAAGACACAGTAAGTTATGTACTTTTATGAAACTAAAAATATTTATCTTACAAAATATTAAATTGAAATGAGCCCTTGTAAAATGTAATAAAGTTGCATTTGTATTTTTCCTTTATTTTGAATATTTATCCATTAAAGACACAATTTTTTTTTTATTACAATAATTTAAATTCATTTTGTTCACAAAAGCCCTTAAGACAATTATGACATGTTAAAAAAGTCAAACAACTATATATTTTTCACTTAATTTATTGATTTTAAGAGATAATGAGGTAAGATACCAAATTAAAATCTTGGTGAATCTATAGAACATAATATATATAACAATTTAACAAAAGACCTAATTCATTATTTTGCAACGGACCAAGAAGAAATCATAGTCAAAACTATTTGTGCATCACCTTCCACTATGACATAAACCAAGGTCCCTCAATTATGGTATTTCAAAACTATACAACAAAGCTAATACCTTTAACTATATCAAATGGAAGGTGGAATAAGAATTCTACACATACCTGCAACAAAGTTTCATAGTAGTTAGATATAATTTTTTGCATGTAATTTACCGGTTTGGGTTTGGTAGTAATCCACCCTTCTTGACCTACGTAATAAAACTGCATATAAGCGTGCCGCGCGTGATCGCACGCGACAACGAAGCCAGACCTGATACTTGAAACAATTTACCAGTTTTCAAAAAAAAAAAAAAAAAAAAAAACGTAATTTACCGACCAATATCAGATTTGTAGTTTTTGCTAATCAGATTCCGTAATTTCCCAGTCTCTGTCTGTGTTGCTGCCTGTCGTCGATTTTTCATATTTACATCTGAAGAAGTCTCGACCTGAAAGCGAGAGAGAGATTGCTTGAACCTTGAAAGCGAAACATCAATGGCGACCTTCATCAAGCTGGAAGATTCCCCAATGTTTCAAAAGCAGGTAAGAGACACCGACCAGATTGAGATATATAATACACTCTTTTCTCGTTTGGATCTCGAGAAAATGGAGCTCCGTTTTATTGTTTTCGTATATTCCGTTGCATAAATGGAACTTGTGTGGCTAATTCCGTCGTCATTTAATCTCTGAATAAAGTAGATGTTATGAAATTAGTATTGGGAAATTAAATCATTTTTCCTCCTAGAGGGGAAAATATGGTGCCTCAGTTAGGCCTCGGACAAATTTCTCAGGATTTCTGATGCTGTATCTTGTCAGAATATCATGCAACATAATCATATTCTTTGGATGATGTGGATATATGTCGGCGAGGATAAAGTGAAGCCTTAAATTTATATGATAACAGGTCAGGGACATTCAGAAATGAAATTAGTAACCTGGACCATATCCCACTGATGCTGTTTTAGTCCATGGATAATTAAGTTTATTGGTTCACAATTAAACACAGACTTCCAAGGATAATAGTCTTTAGTCTTGCTGCCAGCCTCCGTTGTGCTTTTGTAGGATTGTTTTTGTTTGTTTGCTTGACCAAATACAATATTTTTACAATTGCAGTAAAATATGATTCTGGAGAAGACTTCTGGTACTTATTGTTGCATTTTATGTTAATTGATTAGATATATTCTCTAGAAGAGACAGCTGATGAGCTGAAAGATCGCTGCCAAAGATTATACAAGGGATGTAAGAAGTTTATGTATGTGCCTCTTGCTATGCCTTGTGTCTCCTATTGATCATACTCTCGAGCAGATTGAACTTTATCCTGAAGCTAAAAGCTAATGCATCCAATTCTTACCATATTATTGTGTGGAGAAGCTTATCATAAAGACAAGTTTCATTCTGTCTTCTTATTTATCATTTTAATATTCTTCTTTTTGCATGCAAACCTATGAAATGTGAAATGTGTCTTGAAATCCTATATTCTTAGAACTGGGATTTTTCTTTATTCTTTTCTAACTTTTCTTTATTCTTTTCTAACTTTTCTTTATTCTTTTCCTAGGTGTTAATTATGTGCCCTCATGGACTTGATTGTATGAAATGTTGGTGCCACCAGTCACTAGTAGGCAGTGTCTCATGTCCAAATTTGTTGAGTTCTTTTTATTTCTTTTTTCTTTGCAAAACCTATTTACAGGAATCTTTCTCAAAATTATCGAGCAATCCTAATGGTTCCTTATTAGGAAGGACCTTGATGTTTGATTTGCCAAATATATTTTCACATGATATTTGCTTTGCCAAATACATTATTATTTATTCTTTCTTATGAGTAATGCAGCCAAATACTTTTTTTCTCTGAAAGAAATGTTATTAGAAAGAGAGAGAAATGTAATTGTGGAGGCTAAGGGTAAGTGATCCTCCTATAAAAGGGTGAAGCGAAAAAAAAAGAAGTATTCTTGATACAAGAAAGCAACTTAATCTCTTAGTAGGGTGAAGAAAGAAACCCCCAAATATTTGGGTTTCCTGTTGCTAATCATTTACTCTTTTAAACTAAAACATCTAGGTGATAATTGATTCACTTCGACATTAATTAACATTGTTTGCGTGTGTTTCATAGAAAGAAGTTATTTGCATCTGCTATTAGCATTATAAGTTGCATTCCTCTTTTTGTCGAATGGTTTTAATGTTAAAAAAGAATAAGTTGAAATTTTGGGGAAGATACAAGTTTCTTTTTATTGGTGTCTTCTACAGGGCAGCTCTTGGAGAAGCATGTAATGGAGACATCGCCTTTGCAGATTCTTTAGAATCATTTGGTGGTGGACAAGATGATCCCGTTAGTGTATCTATTGGAGGTTAATGACATATATCTTTTTTAAATTCTATTTATCTTGATCACTGACAATAGATATGACATTTCTTATTCTGAATGATTCTGAAGCTTTTTATCTTCTTAATTTTAGTATTATATGTTATAACCGCTAGTGTTTGTAAACTTTTTCCTGCTTCTTGGCATCAAGATCTCCTGTAGTCAAATTCAACCTAATTGTTGAGGCTACTGTTACGGATCCTGTCTTAGTTTCGTCAAGTCATGAGGTTTGGGATGTGGGGCTTGTGCAACACCTTAATGATTGAGAGGAAGATAAATATGTTAGATCTCACATCTTCTTTTGCATTTCAATGTTTTTCCATGGGGCTAATTAGCCTGCTTGGAGGTTACATTCTAGTGGCTCTTTTCCAATAATGTTATATTACATGGACCTTATTGTATGCCCTATTATTGTTGAGGATGCTACTTGTTGGAGGCCTATTTGGAAGCTAAATGTGTCTTTTAGAATTTCTTTCTTCATTTGGGAGGTGATGGGAGGGAAAAAACTAATATCAATAATTTGATGAAAAGGGGCAAGATTATGATTAATATGTGCTATTCTGTAAGGGGAAAGCATGATCTATTAATCCTTATTTTTGTGGTGCTCCTTTGTGCCTTCGGTTTGATTTCCTGGGCTTCAGTTGGGTGATTGCTGTCTATTTTGCCGATGATATGTGAACCTGGCATGATATCTGGGGATAATAGAGGGAGAAAACTTATTTCTATTACTCTGTTAGCTATCTTGTGGGTTATTCGGAAGAAGAGGAATCGAAGAGTTTTTGTTAATGTAACTTCTTCTTGTGACAGAGCTAGAGATTTGTAGCTATGGACTCTGCTCTTTTTTATTTTTTTATTTTTTATAGAGTAGCCCTCTCATTTATATTGAGGACGTAGGGATTTTATGAACATATTAATTGACTTGCAAAGTTCCCTTCTTTTGTACTTGGGCGGCATTCTGTTGGTGCCTTGTTAAGGTACTCTTGTTTCTCTACGGAAAAAGAGTTTAACCAAGTTAACAAGGACATTAGATTTGGTCTTCAGATTTCTTGGATATTACTCTTGTAAGTGCTATATTAATTTTATGATTCGTAGTTCTACCTATCAGAATGTTCATTTTCACTAGCCTTTATTCATAGCCTTAAACACTTTTTTTTTTTTTTAATTTAATAATATTTCTTTATCTATTTTTCCTGAAAAAACAAAAACAGAAAAGGTGACAATGGATTTTCATGCCTAACTTTTCTTTAACCTTTGAACTTGATTTTGGTTCTCCATTGATAATGAAAAAAGAATGTAGCAAATGACAAGCAATTTAATTCAGGATTTCCTTCTAGTTCTAAAATCCTTTCTACCCAGAAATCTTATCAAGAATTCCAAGTTAATTGTCATAAGCCTTTTACAAAGTCCAAATGAACGCATTCCTCTCACTTATTCCTTTTTATTTCTTCAATAAATAGTTTTGATTTTTGTTCTTTTGTTTAGTCTTAATTTCTGTTCTGACTAGCATTTTTTTGTCAATATGTTCTTATCAGTTTTTTATTATTGTTGTATATGCATTACGTACATGGCTTTTTGTACTTATAATGGAAAAACTTGTTTTTCAATTTTTTTTTTGTCTTAATTGGCTTTTTTCTTCCAGGTCCAGTCATATCCAAGTTTATTAATGCATTTCGGGAGATTTCCAGTTACAAGGAGCTTCTTCGTTCGCAAGTGAGTCCTCAAATTTTCTACCTAATTGGGACTTCATGCCAATAAAGTAGATAACATGAAATGAATCTATTAAGTCCATATCGTGGATGAAACCTCATAATTTTCACACTTTTAGTAGTGCATATGAAACTTCTTTCGAATTCTATATCTTTAGCTGGAACCTCCTAGCACTCTATGGGTTTTTCTTTTAAAGTTTTTTAATTGTCTTTTGATTTTTTCCCCCTTATTTTATCCTGAAAATCTTTATTTTCTTTCTGACTTTTGAGTTTTTCCCCACTTAAATTTGGAATGATTCACATTATTGTTTGTTTCGTTTCTGGAAAGAGGGAGGGAGGGAACACCGGTCACAATTGTTCCTGAAATTGATGGCGATCATGTGTTTTTGTTAATAATGATGCAGGCTGATATAGCATTTTTTCTTTTTATGCGCACTGCAACTAAGTTGCTTTCTTTCTCCTCCTACATGTTCTGAACTCTGTTTCATGACAGACTTGTGAGTTAACTTTTGCAGGTAGAGCATGTTCTCCTTGATAGGCTGATGCAATTTATGACTGGTGATTTGCAAGAAGCAAAGGTAATATGGTAATTCATGTTCTTGGTGAATGATATCTCTTGGCTTCATTAAAAATTTTTGGTGATTTCTCTTCTAAAGAAAGGTTGGACAGAATACAATCTTTCTGATGTGGTGTTTGGGAAATAATAATGGTGGAATTTTTTCAAGGGACTAATCAATATATTGGTGACTTGACAATAGAACTTCTAAGGCATCAAGCTGATGTAGCTCACTTATAGAGGAAAGAGAAATTTACAGATCACTGAAAATATTTATCCTACAAGCCCTCAGGATATTGCCTTTAAATGAAAAATGTAGGATATTGCCTTTATAGATCACTGAATTCCTAATTTTTAGCAAAAGAGAAAATTCTTACACCTTTTTTGTAAGCAAAAAACAATAAGCATCAAATAGGATTTAATTTGGGTACATCGGCACTTAATAACATATGCTTTTTCTTGCTCTTATCTCCTTTAATTTCCTTCATATCTTTTTGACATAATTTCAACTTTGTGAGTTGTATTTTGGTTTTTTCCCCTTCTCTTTTATAGGAGTCTCGTCGACGCTATGACAAAGCTATATCTTCTTATGATCAGGTATTATGGACTATGATGGACAAGTTCTTTGCAATAGTTTAGTTTTTGGAATATGAAGTTTGATAATGATACAATAAATACATATATATATTTATAGGGAACTAAAACACAAATACATATTTTATATTTGTATGCATGTATCTGTGGGCATGTAGGTATGTACTTCTTTAAGAAGTTGATAGAACCATGGAAAAGAAGATAATGATGAGTTTCTATTTTTAGTAAATATGTATTTCTTAGATATTCTGCTTTGAATATGGGTACTTTTTTTCCCTCAGCTTTTGATTAATTTGTTTTTGGTTACGTGTCAAATTCTGTAAGCTCTTTCTTGACATAAACTTGCAAGATGAAACAAAATATCATCTGATCATCTGACACTAGAAACCTGTCTATTCTGGAGCATGAGGGATTACTGCACTGATTGGTCCATGTCCACTTTCCTCTCATTAGAGGTAAATCCACCAAATCCAAGCTTACCAAGGTAGTCTTGAACTCCACAGCCAATTTACTGGAAAAGCTCCCACCAGATCTCTCCCCTCTCTTTGGTGCCATATTAAAATCATCCTCCACAATCCACCTCCATCCCCACTTTCTCTTGCATTCTCCCATCTCCCTTCATAATATCTCTTTTCCACTGTTATTGCCTCTGCAATAAACACCACTAAATACCCACTCCTCCCCTCCCTTTTTATTTTCCACTAAGCAGGATAATATGGTTTTACCCACTAGAAACTCTCTTCAACTGAAATTCTCCTTCCTCCACATAATGACGAGGGATCCTGTTGCAGGTAGCTTGATCCACCCAGCCTCTTTCACTCTCCACAGACTTTGAATGACTCTCTCATTTACTTCTTCCATCTTTGTTTCTTGTAAGCGCACAATATATGACTTCCATCTAGACAAGCAACCCTTAATTATTTGCCTTTTCTTCCTGTCATTGATTCCCTTGACATTCCATGAAATTATTTTTTTCAAACATCTAATAACAATTTGCAAATTTCTCCTCTACCCCCGCTGCTCTTATCTTTCTTTTCTCTGTTGTCATAGTTAATTGAAGTCTTCAATCTCTTCAACTCTTTATTGCCTCCCTTCGTTTGCTTTTTTTTTTTTTTCCTTCTGGTTGCTGTTTTTCTCTCTATCTTCTTTCCATTCCTTCTCCTCTCTATCACACCAGACAAGTCAAGCATCTGATCTTTCAGCCCCTCAAAAGTCACACCCTACATTTTACTAATCTTCACAATGTTCCTCATAACCCACAGAGTAGCCATTTTCTTTTTCCTCTCTTGCTGCAGCCTGTTTCTGATTATCACCTCTCAGGCTATATTCCCACTGCAGGCAGACAATCGGTTCCACTTCTATTCCATTTTCAAACAACACTAATGCTAGTTCTGCTTTTCACCCTCTTTTTCATCAATCATCCTGCCTCTGCCTCTTTCTCCTTCCAGTATTTCCATCACACATCCATCTCGACATTCTTCATTTCTACCCTCTGATTGAGCGCCCATGACATCGTCAGTTTCATCTTCACCTTCCTCTTCCGACACCCTCGCCGCCTTCCCTTCTTTCCCTTCCTTCTCCGCTTTTCCTCTTTTGGCCACTCCTTATCTTTTGCCCAGCTCTAATGTCTGCAAGGTTTTTGCCTGGATTGTGTCCTGATAACATAACTGGTTTTTCTCCATGGGCCTCCAAACCCATTTAAACCCTGGGCTTTTCTTTTTTTTAGGCCTCTTGCTCGGTCCAGGAACATCAATCCACTTGCCTTTTCCCGCCCAAGTGAATTTTCGGCTCAAGCTTGGTCCAGTTACACTTTGACCTCCACTCTGTCTTTTATCCAGTCCATCCATTGTCTTTTTATCAAAACAACTCTCTAAATGTTCGTTTTGAACAGTTAAAGCCGGACTCCCTTCTCAATTTGACTTTCAAAATCCACCCAATCCAACTCAGTTCCAGATCTCATCTTTTCTACCCAACGCCCCTCAGCAATTTTACCTATCACCGTTGTAGCGTACGACTTCTCTGCCTCAATCTGGATCTCACCTTGACAATGAGGGCATCAAAAACAATTTCTCCATTGCATCCCCTCCTCCCCTTTTGCCTCTCGGTCTGTCGTCGTCGCCTCCTTGGGTTTTGGTTTATCTGGGTTAACTACTGGTCTCTCCGCCAATGCGAACACCACGTGCATTAGATCCCACCATCCACCAACTTTGATTCCTTCCGGGATGAGGATACATTTGATCGACTTCCCTTTCTTCTTTGTCAATACCAAGAACTGGCCATTTCTGTTTCTCCCTAGGGCAAATCGCAGTTGATGATTCTTCCCAGCTCTATTTTTACCCCAAGTTCTCCCCTCTTTTCTCTAATAAAAGTCCTCCAAGGAGTCCATCAACTAGGTCTCGTCCCCTTCCTCCAGCAAGATTGAGATTCTGAAGCCTCTCCCATTTCAAAAATCCATATATTGTTACCTTTTTTTCTCTTCGCATAACACGTCGAAAGACTTTCTATCATCAAAAAGAACTTCCTCTTCTTGCAGCTATCATCGAGATACTTTTCTCTTGTAGGCCTGGGTGGCCAACCACCATCTCCTCTGACCTACTATTGTCCATACAACTAGCTGGCTAGCTTACAACCCCGCTAGCAAAGGAATGAGGTTGTTACACATCCTTCTTCTTGACAATCTTGTGTGTCAGCACAGAGATAATCACATAAACAAACTTATCAAAATATTTGTTCTCTTGAGTGCCCTAGGCCTTTCTTACCAAATGCTGAATGGTTCCTACAGTGACAATTTTCATGTCAAGTTGCTATGGAAGTATTATTGATACTAATGATGAATGCTCCAATATTAAAATATTTTGACTTTAATGGAAAACTAAATTCTAAATATATATTCTTGTGAGAAAAAGTTTAAGGATCATTATAATGCACATAGAAGAATTTCTGCTGTTTGCTGTCTGACTGAAAAAAGTGAACTATTAGTAGCTTTTTCGATAAATACTTAGTATAAAGTGTATTAAGATGTATAAATTCTCACAAGCATTTTATTCTCAGAACCTATTTTTTCTATTCTTGGTTTCCAAATAATTACACTTTTGAAATTGAGTGTATGATCCATATAAATTCCATGTTGTCAGGCACGTGAAAAATTTGTGTCATTGAAAAAGAGCACACGAGGAGAAATTGTTGCAGAACTGGAAGAGGTATGCTTCATGTATCTATATTCTAGTATATCAAAACAAGAAAGAATTTTTTCTGTCATGATTGAGTTCATCATAATCATGATTATTACTTCTTTTTGGGTTCAAATCATATTAATGGTCAACGATGCACTTACCTGAAGTTCGAAAAAAAACACAAGTTTCTAGCACTAGTCATTTTTCTAGTTTCCTTGCATCTGGATATCTTAAATTGTTGGCTGAGGAACCATCTCTAATGAATGTAAAATTGTATTGTTGTCCTTTTGTTCATGTGAATAACATTTTTTTTTTTAGAATTCTGTATAATTACGAAATATTATAGTGGAAATTTTTGTAATAGTTTGATTGACGAAGAAATACTACTTGATAGAAAAAGTTATTGTAAGCCAGATAAACGAAGATAGAGTGTCATCCAACAAAAACATAAAAGAATCTTTTTGGATGGGAAAAGCAATAGATTAGATAAAGAAACATAAAATATAATCTATAGGAGGATAAGCCATCAAAAATAAAAAATAATAAACAAGAAAAACATCAAAACAAAATAGCAGATAAAAATGGCTGCAAAGTGGATATAGACACTCTCGAAAGAACTGATAGCCTTAGCTCAAAAAGTAGCAAAAAAATGCACCATTCTATCCCAAAGGACATCCTATGGTTGTGATTGTTCTTTCAAGATTCTAATGTTTCCTTCCAGTTGGACATAGAAAAGCTTTGGACAGATCGATTCTTGATTTGTTCTAATTGGTTCGGAGAAAGTGTATCCTATCTATTCCTGTATGCCTCTTTTGCACTATCCATTTTAAGGCTGCAAATATTTAGAGGGGGTGGATTGTCCCAAATCAGTCTAGTTCAGTCTGAGACTGAACCTTTTTTTTCTAAATAAAATGCAGTTAGAGACTTTTAGTTTTCTTACCACTTCTTTAGTTGAGAATTAAAGATGGGTCTTCTTCTCTCTTTTGGGAGGATCCTTAGATTGACTTGTTTCTATTGCTTCTCATTTCCTGAGACTTTATGGGTTATCTAGTAATCATTTTTCTCCCATCTTTTTTGTTCTGATTCGAGATAATGGTTCCCCTTCTTGGAATTTTTCTTTCTTTGGAAATCTTAATGATCGGAACACAATAGCATAACCATTCTTACCAATATTTTAGATTCTATGGTGTTTTCTTATCACCTAGATTGTAGAATATGGTCTTTGGATTTCTCAAGCTTACATTCTTGTAGATTGTAAGTGAATTTCTTGATTCAACAATCTTTTTAATCATAATGTTCTTCTTCATAACCCTTATGGAAGGTTCCGCATTGCTTTAAGGTGAATGGTTTTGTTTGACTGCGGTTCATGGTAAATACTAATGATTTGCTTTAAGTTTGTAGACTGAATTGTGCTTTGTCACCTGAGGTCTATGATGTGTTATAGAAATGTTGAGACTCATTATCATCTCTTCCTACATTATCAGAGGCTGAAGAATTTGTTGTATGTTTTGGATACCTTAGGTGTTTCTTAGGTTTCACATTAGAATATGGAGGATTTTCTCTTTTTGGTGCTCTTAGGCTTGAGGACAAAGAGGAAGTGGAAAAGTTTTTGCTCTTGGTTGGGCTCTGTTGATATGTGGATGATCTAGCTGGATGCTAATGTGAGAATCTTTCTGGAATTATGAATCACCTTTTTTGATTATCTGAAATAAGTGCTTTTTGGCTTCCATTTGGGCCAAGACATTTTAACAATGTTTCTTCGTCAGGTCCTCTAGATACTGACAAACTACTTTTTTTTAATTAGCTATTTTCTCTCATTCTTTATTTTTATTGAAGAAAATATTCTTATTTTTGTGTCAATTTTGGATTCAAAGTGAGTATATATATACAAGTTGGATTCCTAATTTGTAGTCGTATATTATGCAGTCAGTATCTCTAAGTATTAAAGAAGGAAACAACAACTAAGTAGGAAAGATTCTTTCATCTTTAAAAATATAAACTTATCCTAACTGAATCTCACTAATTTTGATATTTAATTACAAATCATAATTCCATATTTCCACTCTCCTCCTCAAGTTGGGTGGTAGATATATAGCATTCCCAACTTGCTCTTCATGTTTTCGCAACTTACATTTAGAAGTGCCTTTATTAAATTGTCTGCTGTTTGACGAC